TCTAGCAGGACAGCTTCTTCTTATAAATTATAATTTACCTACATATTAGCTCTAATCAGAGTCTGTTTGGGCTATAGGTGATTACCACGCATATATTTTATTGTATTACTAGGTGAGGAAACTGCCAGTGTTTGACATAAAACACTTTCTAAAAACACCAACATTTTATCCAGATCTTTGTTTTCTAAACAAGTATTTCTCTTGCGTGCACCATTCATACTAAATATTTCTAACTGAAAAATTGATGTTTTAATGCCAAATATTACCAAAAATTCATTACCTGTTTAGATCATCGAACCATTCAATATACCCACTTTTGTATGGCTATCCTAATTGCACACAACTTTTAACAAAAAATATCTTTATACCAGCGTCTCATAGCTGTCACTCAAATGCCCTATAAGATTTTCATGAACTCATTTGGGATTTCAATGAATATTAATAAGAACATCTGCAAGAGGTTTTGATATTAGGACAGAAAAAATGTTTTCAAAAATATTGGCATCACTTGTTAATACTGATATTTATGAATATGTTGAACACGTCTCTGGTGCACCCAAGCACCTAGTCCAGTGCTAGGTGGACTAGTTATATTATAGTCAAGTTCAATTTGTTTAATTTGTGCTTAATTTTTTCCCAGTGTTCTTGATGATTACAGTTTATGCATAAATGCACATACCCCCTTCTTGTTTACTAACTGCCATGTATGTGGGGTAAATGTTATTTTTTTTTCTCTAGACAATTGTCCACATTAGGCTATTCTCTCATATCATGACTGTAAACTCCTGAATCTCCCAAGTAGGCAGACCAGGCCCCTGGCTTCACCATTTAGGGGAACACCTGAGAAAATGAAGCTTTTTCTTTAACTTTTTTTTTAAGTTCTGATTCTCATGAGACTTGGTGTACAGTTGTTTCCCAACACATTTCCTAATCGCTTTGATCCAGTTTTGAGAAAGCCTGTGACAAACCTGGATGACCTCTCAGACAATGAGAGCCCATGTAACGGTTTATGATGCAATCCAACACTGTTAGGCCATCTAATGGGAAAACAGGCATTTCCAAGCATTTCTAAATTATCTGTTAAGAAGAATGAGCCAGTGATCCTTCTAACAACCTAACAGCCTTAATGCCACACATTTAAATCTTAACACTAGCAGGGTGCCTGGGTGGCTCAGTCGGTTAAGCATCTGACTTCAGCTCAAGTCATGATCCCCCAGTTTGTGGGTTCAAGCCCCATGTGTCGGGCTCTGTGCTGACAGTTCAGAGCCTGGAGCCTGCTTCAGATCCTGTGTCTCCCTCTCTCCTTCCCCCTTCCCCACTCACTCTGTCTCTCTCTCTCAAAAATAAACATTAAAAAAAAAATCTTAACACTAGCTACCATTATGCATGTGCTCAGCACAGTGCTAAGTATTTCACAGGTATTATCTCATTTAATTTTTACAACCAATAATATGGAATTGAATATTATCCTCTTTTTATACATGAAGAAACAGATTTTGAGAAATTTTCACACATGAAGGAACCGAGATTTAGAGGTTTAGCAACTTGCCCTAGCTAGTAAATGGCAGAGCCAAGATCAAAACCCAGACAGACCAGACTACAGACGCCCGCTCTTACCCTCATCCCTCTTTTGCCAGAGATCTAGGCCTCTGGCTGTGCAAATTGAGCAAGTTAACTCTTTGTACCTAAACTCCTCTTCTGCAAACATGGATATTAATAGACCTACAGAAAGTTGTGTTCTAACACAGTGCCTAGAACATTGTAAGCATTACAGAGATGTTGTTACAGTTACTATACTCTTGGGTTCTTCAGAGCAGGTGAATGGTAGTCTATCAAAGCATATAATAAACTGCAATGTAGTCTCTTCTTTAAAAAAATGGAAATCAATTCATTGGCAAAGATAATTTCCAGGGAAAGAGTGTCTTACCCTCACAGCAAGAAGAAAATCACCATTTCCTGTTTTTACAGGGTCACTCTCAACAGGCAAAAGAATAGGGCTGAATACACCAGTTTCTGAGGCGAGGTGCCTTTCTCCAATTGCCTTTTAGCAGTTCTTATAAACATTTCTTTCAAGTTATTTAGGATATATGTCTCTTCCACTGAGAAAGAAATTGAAAGCTAATAGGATATTGTGATAAGCACCTGTGTTATATGGAAATGCTGAATCACTATATTGTACACCTGAAACTAATATTACACTGTATATAAACTAATTGGAATTTAACAAAAACTTAAAAACTAAAAACACTTATATTAAAAAAAGAAAGAAACAAAGAAAGCTAAAAGTATTGGAGGAAGATTAGCCTGCATAACCAGACATAAATCTTTTGAGAGCAGAATTTCACCCTCACCCATCTTGGTAACCACAGTGCAGTGTCTAGAATGATTTCAGGGGTTCAAAATTAGCTAGTCTATATTTTAGGTGTTTTCCACACACTTTATTCCTCACAATAGCACATCAGGGTAGGCACCACCAACCATATTTTAAGGATAAGAAAAAACTGAGGAGATTGTTAAATAATTACTCAACCTTACGAAAGTGCAAAACTGACCTTGAAGTACATCTAACTCTGAAGTTAATTACCTTTTCCCATGTGAATGTCTCGAAAAAAAATGTTCAGTGAATAAATATAAGAAGTAAAAGTAAATGCAGGGAATTTCCTTTCATTCCAGATTCATGACCAAGGAATATGACTGGATAAGGAAAATTTCTGTAGGTCACATTGCCCTTCTTCTCTTTGGGAGGGTTCTAGGCAGAAAATACAAGCCGGATATTATATAGGAGTAAATGCATAACCAGAAATAAACTGAGCATTTATAGGATGATTCAAGAACATGTACTTTGGGAAACAGGTGTTAAAATTTCAGCCCACTTACCATTATTAAAACACACCCTGGGGGGCAGGGGGAAGCAGTATGTAATTGCAATCTGCTGATGTGAATTTTGAAGAACAAAAAACAAACAAAAAAAAACGGTTTCTGACTTTATGAGTTGTTACACAACACACTGAGTTGCTTATTAAAGTAATAATCTTTCCCTTTCACTGAATCATTCAGTTTCCCACTCGCTCAGATTGCTTTAAATGCAATGTGTTCAGAAGCAGAAAAGCGAAGCTAAGATTGCTTCACCAGGGCTAAATAAGGGTCACCTTGTTCAACCTTCGTCTACTCTCTGCAGCCACCACCCAGCTTTGATTTCTCAGCCACACTCCCCCAAACTGCACATTTAGTATTTGTGGTTCCAATGACAGCACCTTCAAGCTAACGTGTCTTTTGAAAGTTTGCTCTTGAGCTCTCGGTTTGTGTTTAACCATAATGTACAGGGTGCCAGGAAAGGGCTTCTAGCGCCCACCGTTTACTCCTGCCCAGTCTTTTTCACATCACCCTCACGACTGCTATTTCATTTCTCCACTATGAATCTTCTTGGACCAGGAAAGGCAGGAGGACATGAAATACTAGCTTTCCTACTAACACCAGCCAGCCCTCACTCAACCCATCCCACTGAGTACTACTTCTCCAGGAAGGGATGGTAGAGTCACTTGTAGAGAAACCGCTCATTTCCTGTGTGTGTGTGTGTGTGTGTGTGTGTGTGTGTGTGTGTGTGTGTGTGTGTGTGTGT